GCCCTAATAAATCTTCATACATACAATGTTATTTTCAGAATCAGATTTGTTTGAAGTGCTGGACTTCATTTTATTTTCTTGACATGTTTTTTAAAAAAGTATTTAGAAACCTAAACAGTCCGACTGCTTGTGTGAAATCAATACGTGAAAAGCAGCTAAAATCATATAACCTACCCATAATAGTTTCACTAGAAAAAAAATCTTAGGCCCTTTGGATGCATCACTTCATGACTTTTGGAATAGGTGACAATTCACAGGCGTTTCTGTCCAAGGATTATCACGTATCAGTATAAAGCTAATTTCCATCTGGGTGAAACCAAGACCTCCAGCAAAAATGTGTTTTGAGCTGTTTGCTAAATGGAAAGCAAACAGTCTGAAATCATTAAGTTCTAGCAACAGACCAGGAATACTCGACTCCTTGCTCCTTTTACATTAAATTCAATGCTATGGCTGAAACCCTGACACCAAAAGCCAATGGGAGCTTTGGCAATGACTTTAGTGGAACCAGGATTTCACTTGGTATGTCCTCCTGTGTGTCATACATTAGAAAATGTATGAACCACTGTGAGAAGTCTTCACTGATTACCAGTAAGATCCCAGAGAACTTATTAAGGGTTAGATCTGAAAGTGCTCAGACATCTCAACACCCAATGGAGTCACTGAAGAGTGGGTTCTAAATTCTGAAATATTTCTATTTCAAGAACAGACTTTCCCTGCCCACATTGGAGGGTATGGTGAGTTTTTCATAACTTTAGATAACAGAAACAGAATGAGCGTATAATCCTTACCTTGGGAAGTCTTATTTCCTTCATTGCATACTTCTGGCTGCTGGTTTTATCACAGACTAAAAGAGCTCTCCCAAAGGATCCCTCTCCAAGTACCTTCAACACAGTGTATTCATCCATATTTTGTATTCCTGGATCTCATACATTTCTTTAAATGTTGTATTTCACAAGGATTTCTTCCAAACCTTATTGTGAACTTGGTTTCAGAAGCATTGCTTTTGTTTAGTGCTACCTGTATGAGAGGAAATGACAAAGTAACAATAAATGGGCAATAAATAAATATATAATGGCAGCTCTAACTGTTCAGCATTATCCCAAATTTTATTTTGTTCAATGCTAACATGATTTAATTGAATATATTTTCAATGAGTGCTACCACTCACTGTGTGGTTGTACATTTACAGCATCTTGTAGCCAGAACTCTCAAAATCCTTTTGAAAACATGAACATCACACTGTAATGGATCTGTGCCATTTTACAGTTTCCTGCTACTCACCATCATCTTCCTCTACCTCTACTGTAGCTGACTACTGTAGTTGAATCCTAAGCAGCTAGGTTTACAGGCAGAGGGATATGAAAAACAACCATATTTTTCAAGCACGGTAGCAGTGTTTTGGTAAATTATTTCATAAAAACTTGATGGTGTGGTGTGCTACAAAAGAGGTATTGGAATTCACTTAGGATGGCCCCGATACTTCATTGATACATCGTTCAAAGTAAAAGTTTGAACAATCTTAACTCAATTGCAGAGTATGTACATATCAGTTTGTATACATGTACATAGAACAGCCAACTGAATTCCCAAACTGTATTTATATCATCCTATGAAGAAAAAAAATTTAAGGGCTTGACAAGTTAACCGAGTGGCCTAAAAGATATAGTTTATACTTGCCCAAAGAATAATTAGTAGTTGTAATAATAGTTTTAAAATAAAAAACACCTTTCCCAAGCCAAGGCATATGCTGTGTGATAAATATTGAAAAAAATTATTACAAAATGGGATAAAACAGATTTCACAAACCACTTTACATCTAGCAGGAAAAGTTCAAAACATCACAACTAATGCCACAATTTCAGTAAGAGACACTGAAGGAGGTATTTCATTAATTCGCTTCATATTTTGAGAAAATAAAGTCAGCATGAGAGCAGAACCGAATAGTACTGGGCAAACTTCAGAAGACAATCTTTTGGGTTCTTATCTGCAACACTTGTATACTGCTGGGTTAAACATAACTGACCTGTGTCTCTTCCCAAGTTAAGACATAATGTGTTATTCTCATTTAAAAGAAAAGGAGGGAAGAGAAGGAATTATATCAGACTCAGCCACAGTTTTGTAACGTAAAATAAAATGTTTTAAAACCCTAAGATTTGTATTTGTTCACTCTGCAGCTGTTACTCCTTTGTGTTACAGCGTTATTGAAACATGAAGCCATCTTCTTACAGTTGTGTACTGTGCACACCTGTGATGCAGTGAAAACATTTAGTAATAAAACAATAAGCAGAATGGATGCTGGCTCAGTGATCCCTTCTTGCTTTCTGCTATTACCTGGATATTTCTTCAGCCTCAGTAGAACGATGAGCCTTCTTTGAACTGCCTGGAGGACTAAAACAAGGGTTTTGCTTCTCTAAGTGCATGGAAAAGCTTACAAACGCATCTGATGTGGGGGTGGGGCCAGGTCAGTGACCCGGGGCATCCGCTCAGCAACCAGCGCGGCCCAGACACGCCCCGCCCCGAGGCGGGCGGGCGGGCGCGGCAGTCTCTGCGGTTGACGTTCCCAGGCCGCACGCGGAAGCTGCGCGGGAGGGCAGCCTTTCCCGCCCTCGCCGTTTTTCAAGCTCCCTGGGGGACTCCAAGGCATTGCGAGCTTCAGACCTGGGTTGCGCTGCTCCGTAGCTCTTAAGGAAGCTGGAGCTGTTGGGCTTCCCCCCCAAGATACTGGATCAGGACAAGGGGGATCCTGGAAGCTGCGGGAGGTATTAATGTGGGTTTCCTTTCCACTTCCTGGACTGCTGCACGGAGCGGAGTTACCTCCCTGGCCCTCCCCTTGCATCCAGCGGAAGGCGGCAAGGACCTGAACGCAACTCCCGCCGTCTCCCGTTTCCAGCTGCAGGCAGCGCAGGAGAAAAGCCCCGCGGGGACACAGGGCTGGTTCAGTCAGCCCTTTGCTCAGTCTCGCTGCTGGAGGTGCATGGTGGCATTGTTGCCATTCGTTTGTATTTAACATGTGAAGCAATAAGCCCAGAGATACTGTCTTAACTTATTCCAGGTAATTCACGTCATCTTTGCTGGGATGGTATAGGCGAGAGGCTTCCCAAGAAATTCTCATCAGAGCAACTGTCAGACTCCCATCGCATCTTTCAGGGATTCTCAGCCAGGGCATCGCAGCATCTTGAAATCCTTTGAAGGATGCAACAGAGGGCCACAATATATTAGCACTTAAATGTGCAAATGTGATTCACAAGATAAACCCAGGGATTTCAAATGTTAAAGGTATTTTGACCTGTTGCAACCTTGGGCTGCATCCAGATGAGCATGGCTATATGGCACATGGCGCTGCAGCTGCATCTACAATGCCACACACCGCATTCAGGCCCTCTCCCTGATATCTTGCAGAGCTGGGGGTGGGGGGGTTGAAAACAAATCTGCACAGAAAAGAAGTGGGGCAGCACACACTGCCCAAAACTGGAGCCTGGCCTGCTGGAGATATGCTCTGGCTACTGGCAGGCTCCCCGCCTCCAGGAAGGCAGGGGTGGCAG